CCCCCCCCCCCCCCCCCCCCGTTGAGTGTGGAAGAGCCGATATATTGGTTCTGTTCTTGGAAAAAGGATATATTGATTTCTAGATCAGAAGCGCTGGTTATATATCGTAATTTGTCAGCCCTTCTATGGGTTAACGCGTAAAGCGTGGACGAAAGAGCGAAGTAAAGAAATTAATTTTGTACGGCTTACTTGGAACACTCGAAGGTCTCCGATGTCCTGGTGATTGATTAAATTCGTGTGATAAAGCAATCGGGAAGTTGTCCGCGTTTGAGCCTCGACTTTGGATAAGGAGCAAAAGTATCCAACGTCGAGTGTAAAGTGTCATGATCTACAACGAGAAAGAGATTACAGAAAAACGAGTTGGAGCAGGTCGAGGTACGATAGCCCGTTGGCTGAGGGTACGAGGGTGCAGCAGGACGAGGGGGTGACTCTTAGAAGGGATTTAACCGGTGCCACGAGAATTTCTCCGAGTACCATCGACCGAATATTCGACAACAGTAACAGGCGGCAGTACGGCATGGGAATTGTTGGAAGATTCTTGGGGTAAGTTTCCAAATATCCATTACGTACATTTAATGCATAAATCCAATTTGCGAGCCTTGTTTGCTCTATCAGATAAACATTTGCGTGCATGTACGAAAGTACGCGTGGTACCGCGATATTAATCAAATGTAACTTAACTGGCCGTCGTATTTACCGCTGTATCGTGAAATTGCTTGAGCAAGATAAATTTACAGTCGCATTTTTTATTAAATGATCGTGCCTCGTTCGTGCAGACGCATTTTGGCTACCGTTTAATTAACGTGGAAATATTCCAGTCGACGAAACCCCGAGATATAAATAGAAGGACGGAGAAATTCGAACGAAATGTGTAGACGGTAGATAGAGGGAAGCGTGCATTTAATAACGCGCTTTGTTTCGAGTCGATATCTCATCCCGTTCCTGAGATATGAGACTTTAAAGCACAGCGGTTTAGCTTATATGGCCGCCAGCCTATGAATGAGGCCGAACCCGGTCTGACCTACATTTTTTCCGGGAAACGCGTACGTCGTGTAATAACAGTAAGAAGACGCTGAGTCAGCGTCTGTCACTGACCACTGCATGGCTGCGAGTCCTGCGGTAGGTCAGCGATATGGGTAAGCCGCCCGAGTAAAACGACGAAAAATTATGGGTGTCTTCGCACGACGATATCTCGGGAACGAAAAGTCCGATCTTCGTGAAACAAAATGCCTCTTAAAGAGGAAGGTTCCACCTTTCTAACGGAGTGAGAATTGTTAAAAAATAATCGTTACTTTCGGAGTAACGATTAAGCAAATTTTTCATAATTTTAATATGAGTTTTATACGATGTTAAGGGTATAATTGGATTAAGAACACGGTACTGGATATAATAATTAGTCAGAGCTACGTGCATTTTGTTCAAATAAAATGCTACTGTCTGTAATTTATGTTTAATAAATGGCTATAACTTCCGGGAGCATTTTTAATATTTAAATTTGAAGCTTATTGTTAATACATTGAATAATTACCTCATAAATATCTTGAACAACATTAAATCTGCAAACTCGTGAAAATATTTTGCAATATAAATTACGATAGACGCTCGAGCATTAAATCCGTTAATTTATTATCCTACGATATTTCATCATCGGAATCGTCATATTTGTCCGCAATATGGAGTACGCATTAACATGATGCGATTGGAAATCGTCATCGGGGAAAAGAATGAGCGGACAGCCAGGCGTTTCCTATTAGTTTGGCATCCTGCATTCGCGTTTATCAGATATCGGCTAGTCATTGTATATTGATGCGGTTGTTGTTCCACATCGATGAAGAAATTTATTTTGAAACGGCCAGTAAATGAATTTCCATACGAGTAATTTTATTGGCCGATATTTTTGTCGTGCCTCGTAAAAATTCGCATCCGATGACAATTTGTCAAAACTGTAACGTCGAATGCAGATGCAAACCAGGTCGAATCAAATACGCAAAATAAGATAGGAGTATCGAGAATACAAATGACAAAACTCTAATTACGGCGCAGGCCAATATTTTCGTAACTCTTTCATGTTTATCGAAAATATGGAATTCGGTAAACAAATCCGTTTCAAAGCTTCTCGAAATTTCCAATTTAAAGGAATACACGGCTCAAAGCTAACAATCGGAGATCAAAGCTTCGCTTACCCGCAATAGTCCCATCGAATTCGAAAATTTCGAATTTCCTGGCTTTTAATGACGTTTCAAAAATCCAAAAAGGAAAAAGAAAGGAAGAAAATATATATACTAGGAGAAAAGAAGAGAAAGCGAAGGGAAACAGAACTGTGGGATGGAAATTTGTCTTTCCCCCGTTTATTTTATTCCGCAAGTTACTATTGCCCTACGGATGGGATGATAACGCAGCTTTATTGAAACAACTTTCCCGCTGTCTCTCCTTCATTCCGCTTTAACGATCGCGCGAAGGTTTTATCATGTAGGTACGACCCAGTTCGAGATACACGTGGAACACATATAACAAACGTGGATAAGCGGCAAACGTCAGAAATGAGAAAAAAAAAGACCGTGACGCAAAGCGTCTTGCCAGGACGGCGTGATATTTAAAAAATGCCAAGAGGGATATAGTTATCGATCACGCTGCCAGCTCTCTTTCTCTCCGTTTACCATGCAAAGTTATTATATTCATCGATAGTGGCGACACGGCGTAATGACATACTCGCGTGTCCATCCGAGTTAATTATAAACATAATTGTAATTTCGCAGGGTTCAGCGAAAATATCCAATTTGTTATTCTCAATTTGAATTTTGAGGGACCAAAATGGTAGGTCGATTTAGAAACTAGATCAGACGAGCTTTCGAGGAACAACGTATGGCTATAATAATTAATAATTACTCTAGGATTATTGCTAGATTAATTCCATGCAGACAGAGATTCTCTTACCTAATAAACAACGACTTCTCTTTAATAACAAAACAGATTTATTTAAACTAAAATATTACACTAACTTTCAAGCACTCTATTCACTACTCACGTGGGTCCAATTTGTCGGATCTGGTAGTTGCAAATTTTCTGTGTCTTGCATTTAGATATATGACTTAATCCGTTGAGAGGGTGGAAAAGCTGGACTGACAGAATTACAGTCGAAATACAGAATAATAAAATTTTTGGAATCAGCGAAAAATAAAAACGAGAGTTATGCTATAAATATGCTTTCTGGGACAGAATGGTCGGAGATGCTTTAACCCTTTCGCCACTACAGGTGACTATAGTCACCGACCACGAGACGCCATCTACACACAGTGGGTGACTATAGTCACTGGCCACAAAAATTGAGTAAAAAATTAAAACGGGTGCTCCTGTTCCGTTTAGCTTTCTTCGCGAAAAATCGCAAGCACTATTGGGATGGTCGATTTTTCCTTTTCTTCAAAAGACTTAACCCTGAATGCTAAAGACTACACGATCGTAATGTTCCCATCATTGACACGACGCTTCGTTCTAAAGGGTTAAGAGACAAAAGTGACAATGTACAATGTCCAAATACCTAGGATCGTTATTGATAAATGTTCGATTAGGCTCTAGTGGGTTGACAGATGGCAGAGGCTTGAAATGTCAACGTTATCGTTTCGTGATTGCAGGAGATCTTTTCGGAAAAGCGTGTCACAGAAACCAGACGTCAGAAGGCAGCTGGACGACTTCGAAGATCATCGTCCATATTTCACGTATTGGATCACCACCGTGCAAGTTCTTATACTGATAATATCGTTAGCGTGTTACGGTTTTGGACCTGTGGGCATGGATCTTAGTCACAGATCAGGCTTGGTAAGCCCTACGTTCGCGAAAATATCGTCTCTCGAATTTTTACAAAAATTGCACGATCTTTATTTTCCCCATTTACTACCCCTGTTCCTAGCACGGACACAATTTATTTATTTAATAATAATTTACGGATAATAGTAAATAAAAATACATCAGTTTGTTAGAGAGAGAATATAGGTTACGTATGGTAGAAATGTCGATATAGTCGATATAAACAATTTGCTTAGAGATTTAAGATCCGATTTTATTTTTAATTGAAGAGATACAATAATTGTCAAAAAATTTTTGGTTCGATGAGAAATTGTTTGATTCAAGTCAGGTATAATGATTTGAAAGTCTCTTAAATTTCTTGAAGGAGCATGAAGATTAGCGAAAGATAATAATTCTGGACTGCGTATAATAGCGTTTATAATTTTGAGGAGAAACAAAAGGTCGGCAGCAATTCTTCTCGATTCAAGAGACTCAACCCTTTGCACTCGTATTTATATTTGAAAAGGTATTAATCAACTCGGAATTTTTTTTCATATTTGATAATTTAATATATATATATAATAAAAATTAAATTATTAGTAAAATAAATTATATATATAATAATAATAAAATATAGGATCACGACTATATGGCGATATACGAGTGGAAAGGATTAAGATTAAGCTTGCGTTGAACAGGTTCATAATCATGACTTGTCGAATAAACGGTGTAACAGTGGTGAAATTTGGTGAAAATTCCGTGACAGGTTCTCGTGACCAGCCTATCGTTGCAACAAGTGGACTACCAGGAACCAGCGAATTTCTGGTTTGGTCCCAGGGCCGCGGACTTGATTCATCTGGGCGCGAAGTTTGCACCGTGTATGCGCCGCGATATCAAAATCCTGAAGGAGATCGACGTCTGGCGGGAAAGGGAGCGGGACACCGCCTGCTGCATCAGAAACGACGACTCTGGCTGCGTGCAGTCCAGCAAAGCTGATTGCTCTGTGAGTTGTAATTTCGTCTCCAATCCTGGAAATTAACGGTTTGCCTTTATAATATAAAAATCTGCTTTTCATACCAACTGGTGCGGGGACTGAGATCGACTGCCACGGTAAATTCCTATGGAATTAATAGTTATCTTATCACTCGTTTCTTTTGTACACCTACACAAAGGCACTGTATGGAAATTTTGCTTGGGATTTTAGCCCATACCGTGTAATCCTTTATACATTGATTTTGTTTCACGTTGAAAGATTTATTAAAATATCTCATAGTGCCTGTACAATCCTCAGAATACGATATCTACCTGGAAGAAGTGGGGACCTGGGGACAGTGGACCAGGAGGACGCATAAGTGGATCGGTTTGCGGGTTGGACCCGAAGTTTTGCGATGCTCCTGCTAGCATAGCTCCGTACGAGTGGCCAGATGACATCACCAAGTGGCCCATCTGTCGGAAAACCAATCCGTTTAATCAGCGATTTAGGTAAATTCGTCATCCAAAATTTCGTTCCATAGCAGCACTGTTTTCGCTGGTCTTTTTGCTGAATAATATCGAGGAAAACCTTTTGCCTTGCTCAACAGTAGAAACGGCAGCCAACGGAGCAATGGAAACTTCCCGGTCGGCCGATACAAGGATAAGATGGCGGAACATATGGTGTGCGAGGTGATCGGGCATCCCTGTTGCATCGGTATCCATGGGATGTGTCGTATTACCACGAAAGAATACTGTGATTTCGTACACGGCTACTTCCACGAGGAGGCGTCCCTCTGTTCTCAGGTCGAGTGTTTACACGACGTCTGCGGCATGATACCCTTTCTTCATCCCGAGTGGCCAGATCAGTTCTATAGGCTCTTTACTACCATGTTTCTTCACGCTGGGTACGATTCGCGTGGATTTTATTCAGACCCTATTATGTCTTTTCCATGTCGAAGGAACGTTGATAAATATTGTCTGATTATGTGTTTTATTTACAGAATTCTTCATCTGTTTATCACGCTACTGATTCAGTATTTCTTGATGCGGGACTTGGAGAAGCTGACAGGCTCGCTGCGTATCGCTTTGATTTACTTCATCGGCGCACTAGCTGGAAACCTGGCCAGTGCGATATTCGTTCCTTACAGAGCAGAGGTACACGTCGCTCTTAATTATTAATTATCACGCGAACAATGGTGTACCACGAAGTTTGTTTACCTTCTACGCTCGGCGTAAAACGGCAAATCGAGGAAATCCGAGCGAGTAAAAGCGTCACTCGATTTCCTTAGGAATTACAAATCAAGTTGACCACTAATTATTCAGCTTGCCGTCACGGTTTTATTCGTCGGCGCCACGGGCAAGTTTTAATTGAATAATCTCGTGGGACGTTTAACTGGCGCATTTCATTGTGTATCGTCGATTTAATCGACGCTTTGGCCCGGTCGGCGAAAGTAATTGCTCAGAGACCACGTTGCACCGGGACTCATACCCATGAAAAGGGTAACAGCATTACGATCGTTTCCTTTACGGCGTTTCCTCCTTCAGCCGTCTTATCGCTCGATAGTTTACCCCCTTAACACCTCGGTGAACTTGCAGTTATACGTCAATTCTATTCCCTCTAGTCTCTATTCCGACTGTTTCCCTCTATCAGGAGCGTACACTCGTGAATTAAGGCAGCCGCTCTGGAGAAGGCGAGAGAATAAAGGGGCGGACAGAAAGCGCCGTTCCTCGAGAACTAATACCGTCCAATTTGTTCTAATTAGTTTGGTTAAACGTACCTTCCGCTCTGGCAACTCCGCCTCTCTCCCTTTCTCTTTACGCGGCATAGTGTTAATTATTGTTTCACACCGACTGCTTGAGGGAGGCTGGTCGCGGACGTTAACGTGATTTGTGTCTCGTGGATTATCGATAACTTGCGCCAGTGAACGATAGTTCCTTGGAACGGTTCGACTAATGAAATCGAGCTCGGTTCTGTCAAACAAATTTTCCAAAGAATCTTCCCTGCTCGATATCGCGTTTCTTTATTGGAAAATGTGAAACTGAAGGCAAAGTTTTCTTTTGTACAATATAACTTCGTGGTATTTTCGTAGTCAAATAATCCTCGCGATTAATGGAATTATTTTAACAAAATTAATTCATTCTTCCAGGTGGGACCAGCAGGCGCGCACTTCGCCCTTCTCGCAACCCTGATCGTCGAGGTGCTGCACTGTTGGCCAATGTTGAAGCACCCACGGCGAACCCAGTCTAAGTTGATCATGGTCCTCGTAGGCTTACTAATCCTCGGTATCCTTCCATGGGTCGACAACTACGCCCATCTGTTCGGTTTCATCTTCGGATTCCTCGCTGCGTACGCGCTGATGCCTTTCATCTCGTTCGGCCACTACGATCGTCGTCGCAAGATCTGGCTGATCTGGATCTGCCTGATCCTCATCGTGGTTCTGTTTACGCTGCTTCTAGCCCTGTTCTACAACGTACCGATGTACGAGTGCGAGGTGTGCAAGCTGTTCAACTGTATCCCATTTACTCGAGACTTTTGCGCCTCGCAGAACATCAACTTCAAACGGGAGGAGCCCGTATGACACACGGGGCCGTGTTTCGAAGTCGAGTTCGAACCATCCTTTCACGTTACCCAGGATAGAGTGAAATCCTGTACGCATCTGATCGTGTTGGCTCTGCTGCGGAATTCAAACCGGCGGAGAAACGAAGATCACGATTGAAGAAACCGACGCGATCCACGATAGCACGAGCCTCCATGGAAGATCTTGACGCGTGCACAGCGTCAAGGAATCCGGAGATACTCGTCTCTGACGAATGACACTGCCTTAAAGTAAAATAACTCCACTGGGATCCACTGGGGTGGCCTCTCAGCCAGCGGACCCTGTGCTTCTCGGTGGGATGTAAATATTAGAAGAGAAGGGAAAAAATAATACGCGCCTTTAACATAACGCGACCATCGTTCCCGACGATCGTGCTTCGAGGGTGGATGCTTGGTCTGGAAGTGTAAAACGTCGTGTTGGAACTCGTGTACGAATGGGAGGAGTGCTGCGACGAAACGACGCACGGGGGATGAATCGTTGGAGATGAAGAAGGCTTCTCACCCTCTTGAAACGTTTGGACGGGGAAAGGGAAGGAAAGGAACACGTGTACATAGAACGAAGACTCTTGTTACATATACATATACATACGTACGACGTAAGAACGACCTTAATAAGTTTAATTTTAGAGGATGATGGGAGAAGAGACAGATGGGGGCAATGGAACGTCGAAAGTGTATATTAGCCCGCACCCCTGACGCTGGAACTATCTGTGATGGGCCACACGATTGTCTTCGAGAATATTTTTCATAACGTCAAGAGTTGCAACATCTAGATGAGATCTTACGCCGGTTACGCCGTGAATCGGACGAGCTTAACTCTGTAAAGTCGGGGTAGGGTTCAGAGGCAGAAGGGACTAGATGGACATTGGGAGGAGAGTGTCAGCGATAAGTACATTTCCGGTGAAGAAGAGGAAGGAAGGAGTGGAGGGTAGAAACGAATCAATTTTTTATAACGACGTGCGAGAGCGGGAGAAAGTGAGGGAGAGAGCGATTATCGGAGAACGCTTAATCAATTTCCACCTTGTACATAATTATAGATGCGAGAAGAATCGGCTGGAGAAAGATGGGGGAGGGGGGAATGAGGGAGAGAAGGATGGACGGGATACGCACGAGGGCGATTAATTGCGTTAAGGTAAAACAAAGAGAGAAAAAAAAAGAACAAAAAACAAAGCAACACTGTGACATTCGTGAATGTGTATTTTATTATAACGGGTATGTAAATGTAAGAAACGAGAAAGATTGTCTGAAAGGGAGCGAGAGAACGAGGGAGAAAGAAAGAGAGAATGAATCTGTTCGTCTGCGTCTTGTCGCGTGTAAACGATGATAATTGAGTATGTACACACGAAAAATAGCAATAGCGAACGTGATGTGCCACAACGTGGAGATCGTCGCAAAAAAAAGAAAAAAAAAAAATATGTGAAAGTGATTCGAGGTAAACAGAGAAAAAGAAACGCATTTCTTCTAATGTCGTGTCGCGCGTTAACCATTCGCGATCTCTCATTCATTCTAACGTAGCATGCTCGACGAGGAAGTCGATTAGGTTTCGTCGACACAGCTACGTCGATCGGTTCACGGAAATCATAGAAACATGCCGTGGAAGGAAAATGTGCTTCCTGCTTCGTATCCATGCGAGTACCCATGTGTTCAAATGTGAATATAAATTTGACTATTGCGTTTGTCAGTCTTCGTCGCGATGGTGAGTTTACCTTGGGTTGTCGAGGTGTTGGGTATAGCGATAGCTTTTTCGTTTTCGTCGAACGAATGAATTATAAATTGTGTATTTTATTTTTTTACGAATTTTCGCTATGCTAGCGTAATAGCATGACTATCGTACTTGACAGAAATTGTTTTATTTATGCACAGAAATATTAGTACAGCGTTTCTTTGATAATACGTATCAAAGACTTTCCGAATATTTTATAGGTATCGAGCACTGCTTCGTTTTATTGCTTCACTATCGGACAGATAGTAAATTGTTTAATGTTTTTAATTTAAAGTTCTTTAGTTGATAATTCTCCTGTTGATAATAGCTATTATTATTAAGAAAAGTACTGAACGATGTTATTAAAGTGATCTTGAATTGTGGAAGAGGAACGAATCGAGCACTATGTACAGGCAGAAGCATTATTTCCTTCTCTCAACAGCATTCATTCGTATAATTTTTAAGAACGTAACAAGTAATACCATGTTGATTATGGATTCTTAGCGTTCCTTTTCGAATTTCGTAAATGCGAAGGCATGGTTTTCTATCCTCGTACGTGTTGAGCATGCCACGAGAACGGTGATTCGTAACACGATAAATGTAATCGTCGAATGATAAATATTCGTAATCGCTCGTGCATAAGTGTAATGTTAATTGGAGTAACGCGAACACTGTCCTGAGGTATAAACGCACTTTTTCAATGAAAAAAGAGTTAAAGAAAAAAAAAAAACAAAAAAAAAAAAAAAAAAAAGG